TGGGGTGGCAGTTATATCAAACACCAGAAGTTATTCTAGTAGAAAGGATAATCAACCAGTGGAAGGAGAGATAAATTTCTATGGTGTTTTACAGCAAATTATTAAACTGAACTATTCTGGCTTCTATAAAGTTGTGCTTTTTAAGTGTGATTGGGCGGACACCCAAAGAGGATGCAAGAAAGATGAATTTGGTTTTACGTTGGTGAATTTCAATCGTTTATCTCACACTGGTAGTAATCCTAGTGATGACCCCTACATATTTGCCTCTCAAGCTAGTAAAGTGTTTTACATTGAGGATGCAAGAGAAAAAGATTGGCAAGTAGTCAAGCATGTGAAGGTTAGAGGTGCTTTTGATTTGGGAGAAGTGATACCTATTAGAGAAGATGAAGTTGGTGGAACGGACATGGCATCCACTTGGGTTAGGAGAGATACCGAGGAAGAGGGGATTATTGTGACATCAGATATGGAAGTTCAAAACTATGATGATGAAGAAATTGATGATGAAATTTGAGTTTGTAGTACAAAGTGTAGTTACCAGTTTCTCTAATTTTAGGCTTAAGTTATTATTTTGTGTAATGTATGACCATAATTTGAAATATAATAGTCTAATTTTTATATTTTGATCTTATTAGTATTTATTACTTTTTCAATTGTTTTTCTTGGTTGAATGATTGTTATAGATGTATTTATGTAATTCTTCTAAGTTCATAAACTTGGCTTGCTTTTTTAGTATATATTTTGACATTAAAATATAAATTCTCATTATTATCATCTTTTTTTTTTTTCCTTTCAGGATGCCAAAGTGCAAGCATCTCAATATTGTAAGGGTCCAATCAAACAACCAAAGTAAAGCTGGTTTACCCTCTTCTCCATCCATAAACAATGAGGTTCAGCCAAGCCAACAACCTGCTCCATCTGGAAATAATGTGGGTGAGTCAAACCATCAACATGTTGTCCTAGAAGAAACAAATTCTAGAGGTAAAGTTTTTACTTAAATTGTTGTTTTCCAAATTTATAAGATGAATTTATGTGAATTTATAACTCATGAATGTATTTATTATTAGCACCATCTCCACCACCTAGAAAGCCAAGAGGTCCAACATTGATGTCCCACATATGGGAGTTGGATAAAGGTGCCAAGGTCAACGTCATGTTTGATGCAAACTGCCACCCAATTGGTAAAGAAGGCTGCACCTTGACTCGATTCATTGGTACTATTGCAAGAAAATCAGATGTTGCACCTATTAACTACAAGGATTAGAGGGATATGCCTCAAATTTATAAGGATGACATGTGGAAGATTATTGAGGTGAAAAAAAAAAAGTCTTATACCCTTAATAGATTAGTAAACTTATAATAGACTTGTTCTTGGTTAGAGTTTTTTTTTTTTTTTTGGCCGAAGTATAAAATATTGCTCTGTACGTATCACTTGCTGGTGCAAATGTGCAATGGTGCGTAGTGCATACACCAGTATAAATTTATTTATTTATTCTTCATAAGATTCTCTAAATTCA